TGTGAATGGTCTGCTGCTACATACAGGTGTCATCTTCAGTACTGTCTCATCCCTTCTAAAAAGAAATTATCGGGACCAGCAGTTAGCGTAATGGCTATCTCGCTGGATTCCCACGTAGCCGACTGCAGCTCGAGTTCCGGACCCGGTGGCTTAAACTCACGCTCGGTGTGTGTGCGTGCGTGCCCACGATCCCGAGAGGAGAATGGAGGAGAAGGGATTGCGGCATGGCCATCCCCTCTGGGGGGTGATTTCTCGCTGTCTCTCTGTCTCTCTCTGTCTGTCTGGCGAGCGCACGCACCCTATAGCAAAAACCTCTCCAAAAAAAAAAAGAAATTATCCAGGTCTAGCCTTGGTAGTATAGGTGGTAGTGTACTGGTGTGCAATATTGAGAGCCACATGGCCAACTATAGGTTTAGATCCCAAGTTCACCTGGACCATATCAACCACATGTACACTTAAAATCCTGACTGGCTACAGGGCCTGGGAGAAGGGGACTATAGTGGGACAAGGGCATGATGAAAGGGTCAGTCTCTCTCTCCTTTACATGCACTCTGTCTTTCTTATGAAAGAAATAAACTTAAAAATAATGAAATATTCATTTGTAAAGTGCTGATTTCTTTGAGGTATTGTCCCCACAATCTTACTGTAAAGTATCAAGGATTTCATCAGTGTTCTACCCACACTTCACCATAAACTTGATGCTCATTCTTGCTTTAATTTTAGTAGAATTCATATTGTTGATAGGGGCTCCTTTCAAACTCATGGTTTATCTTTTTTTTCTTTCTGCAGAGGATTTTTGCTATAGGGCGTGTGCGCTCACCAGACAGACAGAGAGAGAGAGAGAGACAGAAAGTGAGAAATCACCCCCCAGGGGGGATGGCCACCCTGCAATCCCTTCTCCTCCATTCTCCTCTCGGGATCTTGGGCACACCTGCACTTGCGCCCAGCATAAGTTTAAGCCACTGGGTCTGGGACTTGAACTGCAGTCGGCTACATGGGAGTCCAGCGACATAGCCATTACACTAACTGCTGGTCCCTCATGGTTTATCTTTTGTAGTGCCTCAAACTGGATCCTATTTGGACAAGTTAGTATGACTTTATCTGTGTGCAACATGAATAAAGAAAAACCAAAAACTTCAACCCATGCACAGTTTTTTCATAATACACATTTTCCATAAACTTTTGAGAACCCCTTGTATTAATTATGTATTTCGTGAGCTGCAGATGGTACCATTATTTTACGGGGAATTATCTGCATATAATTTGTCATGACATTTTTTTTTTTTTGAGAGTTTTTTTGCTATAGGGTACGTGCGCTCGCCACAAAGACAGAGAGAGACAGAGAGACAGAAAGCAAGAAATCACCCCCAGGGGGCATGGCCATGCCACAATCCCTTCTCCTCCGTTCTCTCAGGATCTTGGGCACGCACACACTTAAACTTAAACTCGTGCCCGGCATGAGTTTAAGTCACTGGGTCTGGGACTCAAACCATGGTCGAGTACATGGGAGTCCAGCAATGTAGCCATTACGCCAGCTGCTGGTCATTTATGACACATGGACTGGCAACTTAAACTCATGCTGGGCGCCTGTGCGTGTGTGCCCAAGATCCCGAAAGGAGAATGGAGGAGAAGGGATTGCGGTGTGGTCATCCTTCCTAGGGGGGTGATTTCTCGCTTTCTGTCTGTCTCTCTCTGTCATTCTGGCGTGCGCACGTGCCCCGTAACAAAAAGCCTCTCCCCCAAAAAAGGTAAATGTGTTTATGTGCACTGAAAACTCAAATCTGGATTATTCTAGGACTCAAGAAGTGAGTCTACAGGGTACTGCTTTTCCTGATGTTAGTAGTACCCCTCAGAGAACATGTTGTTTGCCCTTCTCCCCAGCTGCTGTCCCTGTCTGTATCTGTGCCTCTCCCTCATCTGTTCCTGGAATTTAGGAGTAATAATGCAGCTTGAATATAAGCATCAACATTAAATACTCTTAGTAAGACACAGCTAACCTTCAGAGTCTGACCAGTATTCCCAAGAAGGAAACAAACAAACAAAAAAAAATCCAAGACTAGGGTACAGAAAAAAATGGAGTTTTATAATACAATTCAGATTTCTGTCACTCACCCACACATAGTTTGATGGCCCATTAAATTGACTGGCTCCCAGCAAAAGGAGAAAAGGGGCAGATAACCTAAAATCTTACTTTAAAAACTCCTCCCCCAAGATTCAAGCCTTTTTTTCTTTTGTGTGCATGCGTGTTTGTGTGTGTGTGTGTGTGTGAGAGAGCGAGTGAGCGAGGGTGTGGTCATACTGTAATCCCTTTTCCTCCATTCCATCAGGATTTTGGATATGCATGCATGCATACACCCTGGCATGTTTTCCAAGTCACTGGGGCCAGGAGTTGGATCGTTTGTTGACCACGTGGAGTTCGTTTCTCTTAAACCCCAGGCTACAAGGCCACCCTGCATGTCTTCTTATAAAAAATATTTCTGAGCTAAACTCTATATGACAGTTTAAGTATTTCTTCCATGAAAGGCAGAGATAGAGAGAAACAAAGAAGCACCTCTAACAGTCTTCATGCCATGACCCACTCCCGGCCTCAGCCAACAAGGATCATGGGCATGTATAATTATGTCCAATATGTACAGGGAGACCCTCCTGTGCAAACTCAGGACCTTCCTTCCCATGGTCCAGTGCTGCAGAATGTTGTGTTTCCACTGTGCTACCACATGCATGCGACCCCATCCTTTTTGAGCTAAGCATTTATTTATTTATTTTTAGTTTTAATTATTTCTTCTATGAGAGACACACAGGGAATACAAAGTGGTTTTTTTGGTCTGTTTTAATTTTGCTAAAGGATGCATGAGACAAAGAGAGAAAAAAAAAGAGATGGAGGTAAAGTGAGAAAATACCTTTCTCCATGGGAGATGGTGACACCTCAGTCCTTTCTCCTCCATTTTTCTTTTGAGATTTTGGGCATACACACACACACACACACACACACACACACACACACACACACACAGAGTGTGTGTTTGAACTGTCAGGTCCAGGACTTGAATTGCACAGCCACGTGGGATCCAGCCAATTTAACTACCGTGCAGGCCCTGAAAAAGTGCTTGTGATGGATTTAAACTAGATATCTAGGGACAAAGCATGCTCTGTATCTTAAACTCATAACTTTGAATACTCAACTCCTTTTCTTCCCTGAGGGTTGGTTGCAATCAGGACACTCAAGTCTTGGTGTACCTTCCATGGAATGTAATGAATACTTCCAAACATAAGACACTGAACATAAAGAAAGGTCAAGGAGGAGGCTGTGGTGGGCTGGGTCAGAAGTAAACCTGAGAGCCAGCCACTCCCACATTATACTTTGTTCTTATCTTTTCATAATCTTTTTCATTTAACTGCTTTTGAAATTACTCTTTCTCTAGAGGTGAGGTTGCGAAGAGAGAACGGTTAGGACCCTTTCAATAGAATTTGGATAAAGGAAACAAAGAGTGGGTCAATACATAAGTTTTATGGGAGGAAAAGCAGCCACTGGAGTTTAAGTGAAATAGGACAGAACAATAACATTTATTTTAAAATAGTTTCTCTGCTTTGTGAATCTGTTTTGTGTGGGTTTTTCTTCTTCTTCTTTTTTTTTTTTTTTTTAACATTTTTTGTTATAGGGCACATGAGCTCACCAGAGACAGAAAGAGAAGGAGAAAAAGTGGGAAAGCACCCTGTAGAGTAGGATGATCATGCAACAATCCCTTCTCCTCCATTCTCCTCTCGGGATCTTGGGCACGCACGCACACGCGCCCGGTGTGAGTTTTAAGCCACTGGGTCCCAGACATGAACCGCAATTGACTGACTACATGGGAGTCCAGCAACATAGCCATTACGCTAACTGCTGGTCCTTGTTTTTTTTTTTTTTTAAGAGAGATTTTTTTTTTTTCTTGCTATAGGATGCATGCACTCAGTGGAGAGGAACAGAGAGACAGAAAGTGAGAAATCATCCCCAGAAGGATGGCCACGCTGCAATCCCTTCTCCTCCATTCTCTTCTCGGGATCTTGGGCAGGCATTCACATGCTCTCAATTTGAGTTTCAAGCCACCAGGTCCAGGACTCAAACCACGGTCAACTACGTGGGAGTCTAGCAATGCAACCATTACACCATCTACTGGTCACTCTAACTGTATTTTAATACGGCCAGATAAAGATGGCTATTGTAGGATCATCTGTAACATGGGAATGTACAGACAAGGAACAAACATGTGATAAACAAACAAGGAATGAAATAGCCAATCTGCCAAACTGTGGTAATTCATATATAATCCAATGCAGGTCACTCAGCTATGCTGAATAACATAGAAAAGAGGGCCATGTCTCATAAATGAACATGGTAATATCAGGGCACACACATGCCCAATCCATATCTTCTTACCCCAGTTCACTTCAAGCAAACGTCTCATGAAACTGCCCTTTGTATACCTGTCTTATAGAACCCAGCCTCCCAAATGTGAGGAAGCTGCATGAATACTCTATACCTCAGAGATGAACCGAGGTGTGAACAAAGACAGCCTGAGGTATTGAGAGATTATCTGACAGATATCTGGCATCTCTATGCCAAGTGTGTCTAATCCCTAAGAGAGTAATGGAACTAGGAACTCCTAGGCATACTCATCTCTGTGCTTTCCTCCCTCTACTCCTAAATGCCAGCATGAACCATATCATGACCACCTGGCTGAGCATAAGACTTGTCAAGGTAAAACTATACTTACTGTAGTTCTTCTGAATCTATGAAGAAACTGTGGTGATGAATCTTAGTAGCATTTATACGAGCTAATTACTTTAGAGTTTAATTGCATTATTCCTTAGGTCTTGGGCTTTCTGCCCGAACTGTCTTTTCCTAGATCCTATTATTTTTCCTGCATGAACTGCCACACTTGGTGGTGTTCAGGTTCCCACACACTAGAAAAGACCCTTCTGTCGCACCTCAGGGATGTGCACAGGTGAAGACCAAATACCTGATCTGTGACACCAATGCTGGCAAATTGCTCTGGAGAAGTGGCTCCGAAAAGACCAGATTTTCAAACAGGTGTTTATTATGCAGTTCCCATGTCACCTGGAACTTTTTCAAATGTTCATTTTCCTAGTTAAAAAAAAAAAAAAAAAAAAAAAAAAAAAAAAAAAGTAAGTAGATGATGTAGTGAATTGATGAAGACTTGAAAATTCCCAGGATTCCCCACAACCTTCTACATAGTCCCAGAACTTTCTACTTTTAAAGATTTATTCCCTCTGTGTTCCAAAGCACATGATGAATCAAATCTCTGACTACAATGACATAAGCCTTGAACTACCCTCCCTTCTAAATAACCCACACACAAAAGAAAGGGATGGCCGGTGAGCACACAGATGAGGAAAGACAGAGAAAATAAAGGACAATTATATACTTGATGGTAACTTACCATCAAATAATGAAAGTTCAACAACTTAAACAGTTAAAATCCACAAAGTCCTTTGACACTGAAAAATACTAATTTCCTTGCTTATACTGAGAAAACTCCCATACTAGTAAATGTAATTTCCTCCACTCGTGACACCCCATCAAAGGTAAGATCTTTTGTTTTCCTAATAGTGTAGGCAAACTCATCAATTACTTGAGACGACAACCTTAAGACATTGTGGGAATACGTTAGTCACCATTGAAAGTTGTATCAACAAACCCCTACCTCCTCAATACAAGATCCCTGGAGTTAATGGGGTTACTACTTTTCTTCAATTTAGTAAGTTCTGCTATAGTCATGCATTTTTGAATCTGTGCTTCCATCTATAAGCTACATGTATACTACTTGTGTTCAAATTGTGTGACATTTTTGGGTAAATGTCCCTATGTAACCAACTGACAATTCTGAAACCATCTTATCACTAGGCACCAATATTCCATGTGTCCTCTGTTTTGAATTACTCCAGTGACTAGATTTAGTGGTCCGTATATATTTACAAGTTAGCTAAACTGACTTGATGGGAGATAATAATCTATACATGGAAACTGCATTATTTTGTCACAGGATAACCCAATTTGGTATAGGGAACTGACAGAACAAGGTACAATGATCAATTTTTGTCCTTGAAAATAAACATCTGTAAAATGATATAAGGATTGGCCCCAAAGCCTAGTGACTGGGGGAGCCAAATACCATGTGGCCAACAACAAAGTTTAAACTGCAGTTCCAGGAGCTTGGGGGACACACCAGGAGCATGTACATATGTGCCCAGAATCCCAATAGGATAGAGAAGTGAAGAGTGCACAGTACTGTAACTGCATCCCAGTCGGGGGAGGGGGCTACACACACGCACTCTGGAAAGTACACACTTTCTTGATCAAAAAAAAAAAAGGTATAGACAGGACACTGGTGATAACACTGTGAGCATGCCAGTTTTGTTGGTCATGGCCCTCCTTTTATACCATAAAGAGAGATTCAGCAATAGACCTATGATATGTGCAGAAAACCTCAAATGCTCAATTTTGTTAACAGTTCCAGGGACCTTTTTTCATTGTATGCTTTAACAAAACATTACAGATTCCAGATTAGAATGTCATCACTTCTGCTTCATACTAAGCATCTGTATCTTTTTTTTTTTTTTTTTTTTTTGAGAGATTTTCACTGTAGGGCGTGTGCGCTCGCCAGCCAGACAGAGACAGACATAGAGACAGAAAGCGAGAAATCACCCCCCAGGGGGGATGGTCACGCCGCAATCCCTTCTCCTCCATTCTCCTCTCGGGATCTTGGGCACGCACGCACACGCGCCCGGCGTGAGTTTTAAGCCACCGGGTCCGGGACACGAACCGCGGTCGACTACGTGGGAGTCCAGCGACATAGCCATTACGCTAACTGCTGGTTCCCAAGCATCTGTATCTTTCAGAGTAGTTACTCAGTACAGGAAAACTTCATATGACAGAAAACTAGGGTCTGGCAACTGATACACTCAGTCTAAGTCCCAGAATTAGAGGCTGTTATGTATGACTATGCTTGTAATACTGAAAATGGCACAGATGAAGTGCTGGAAGACATGTGACTACTACCTGCTACAGTAAATCCTTAACTTTCCAGGAATCCCAGGAGGGATAGAAGAGTAGGCAATAATCTCACTTCCAATTCATCTCCAAACAAAGAAAACACAGGAGCTAAATAAGGCAGCATGATATCAGGCCCTTGTTCAGCTGCAAGAGAGTTCAGGAATTGTTTCCTAGAAGAGCTGAGGGGTTGCCTGGTCTTCTCCATTAACTGTTGAGAGAGACATCCCAACTCACTTCTACCAGATGTCACTGTCCTCACTGGAACCATAACTATGGTTTTCCGCATTCACAATGGTATTTGGGAGAAGACTGATTTATGAAGAGTGTTTTTCCCCCTTTATAGAGAAGTGGGGGTTTTGAGCAGAGATAGGTATTTTGAGTAGAGACCTCCACACAGCCTCGCCATGCCAGGTGCAGGATTATAGGTGTACACAACTGTACCCGGCATGTTCGTTATTCTGGGAACCAAACCTGGGCCTCCAATGTGGCTTCCAGCCTCCTAAGCAGTGAGGCTATTTATGTACCATCATGGCTGGGACCGGCATTTTTTCCTAAAATCTGACATTATGCTTCCAGGTAAGGCATGCAAGAGAAACGGCAGGCTTATTTCAAAACCTGAAATCAACTAGGAATTCACTTAAACAACATGTGCTAACATCTGAGGTTCTACCACAGCTATGCACTGCTCTCAGCACTGAGCTCATCAATGGTTTCAATAGTTTCCTTCTGAAATGCCCCCATTTATAAGCCAAACCCCTATTTACAGGCAGAGAAGTGGCTTAGAGGGTCTCGAGTAACAGGAACAGGGCACGTATGGGATGAGGTCTCCATGAGATATCTGTCACAACTTCTACAACAAGTCTGCTTATAGAAAGACTGCCTCAGCTAGGCAGAAAGAAAAAAGCTTGTCAATGAATGGAGCTGAGGCTTTTCCATCTGAACCATTCTTATTTCTCACTTTCCATTACAAAAAGGTATAGGGATTTGGAAGAAGAAGGTGTTTAAATGATATTCTTACAACAGACTAGAAAAACATTCAAGATTCTTTGTCCTTTTGTATCTGAATTCAAGTTTCATTATTACTACAGCATGATGAAATATTTCCTGGATGACTGAAAATGAACTTAAGTCTACATCCAGTTTTATTTATTTATTTGTGAGAAAGCAACCCACATGGGGGATAGTCATGCTGCAACCCCATTTCGTTCATTTCTCCTTTCAGGATTTTTGGCATGCACATATACGTGCCTGATATGTTTATTCAAGCAGATGGGTCCAGGACTCGAATTGTGTAGTTGGCCATGTGGGATCCAACTGCCTTAACCACCACACTATTGGTTGGCACCCAATTTTATCATTTTTTTTTTTTTGAGAAGTTTTTGCTATAGGGCACGTGCACTTGCCAGAAAGACAGACAGAAAATGAGAAATCACCCCTCGGGGGGATGGCCACGCTGCAATCCCTTCTCCGTTCTCCTCTCGGGATCTTGAGCACGCACGCACACATTCCTGGATTGAGTTTAAGCCACCGGGTCCAGGACTCGAACCACGGTCAACTGCACGGGAATCCAGTGTTATATCCATTATGCCAACTGCTGATCCCCCAATTTTATCTTAACATTTAAAATAAATAGGAAAAATACTGCATTATTGTGTTTGATTCCCTGGGCAGTGAGGAACAAAGTCCACAAGTGCATTTTCTAGGAAAGTCACTTTTTTTTTTTTAAGAAGTTTCTGCCTTAAGGTGCAAGTGCCTGTCAGAGAGACAGAGACAGTAAGAAGGAAAATGAGAAATCACCCCTCAGGGGAGATGGCCACATCGCAATCCCTTCTCCTCCATTCTAGTCCCAGGATCTTGGGCATGCGTGCACATGCGCCCGGTTTGAGTTTCAAGCCATCGGGTTTGCCATGTACGAATCCAGTGATATAACCATGATGCCACCTGCTGGCCCTGGAAAGTCACATTTTTTAAAAATACCTTTCTATGCCTGAGAGTATTCAACAGAGATTCTGCACAATCAGCAGAATGAGTGTGTAGGTGAAAGGGAGAGTGCTGTTCAGAGAGGAACTAATGAAGTTAACAGAGACTTATCAGGCAGAGTTTGCACAGCAAGTGAACCTGCTATTTGAAGGAAAAGAAGTGACACTATTTGTGGCTAATTATAAAATCTGAGTTACCAAGCAGAAATAAATTCTGGAAAATCTGCAATTGTCACTGTGGGCCTCAAAGTTGCTCCACACTTTTCTGATGTGATCAGTGGTGATGTTAACAAATTTCACTTTCTTGAATAATGAAATGGGTCAACATCAGGAAGATCTGCATAATTCACTGATGCAATATTTTTCAAATGACCCACAAATGACATTAGAAATTCATGCATGAGTGTAGGATCTCTTCGAAGTACCAGCTAGACCAATGGATTTGAATGAATAGAGTACAGCAAGTTCAATGATAAGGTTTCAGATCCTATATTGCAAATCATTAAAAAACTCTCAAGTCTTGGTATACTCTCAAAGAATATCCAAAAAGACCTAAAGAGGCTATGAAAAATAAAAATATTTAATGATAAATTTTCAGTAACTTCAACAAAATAACCTACACAACAAAATGAACACAGAAGCAGATATGAAATCCCAACTGCCAGATATTAAAGAGACTTGCAAAAATATAAATGGGCCTAGTTTAGGTAGTGCAGTCTGTAGTATACTGGACTTCAGGAATTCTTTGAGGTAGGAATGAAGGTTCAGCTTTCTCCAGAGATAATCAGCATGCTGCTTGACCTTACCAGTAATCTTGGACCACTATAAAGTAACCTCTAGGTTTGAAGCCACCTGGCTGAGATCATGGGTTCAGATCCCTGAACCAGTCAACCTCAAATATGGCAGATGCGCATGCCCCAAATCCTGATGGGTTGAGGAAAAGGCTCTTGCCTTGTTCAGACCATGCCAAGAATACTTCTCTCTCCCTCTCTATACCTCTCCCGTGCATGTGCTATCATGAATAAAATAAATTTCAGTAACTTTTGTTTTGGAAATTTTTATGCTAACTTTATTAGTCAATATCAAGAAATT